TTTCTCTTAAGCCTTATTCTAAGTGTTGTTTTATATCATGTCGATATTTTATTACAATTTTAGAAAAAAATATAAATAAACAATCATTTTCTTCAATTACATGAAGTTGATAAAATTAACGTTTTTTATGCACTCTTAAAAATAACTGTTTTACGGACATATTTTAGTCTCTAAAATGAATCTTTTTTCAATTTTTTTTATAAATAATATTAAAAAATTATTTTTAAGATGGAAATTTTTTAGACTTTTTTCCAAAAAATTATGAAAAAACTTATTTCAGAAACTAAAATGTTTTTGTAAAATAGCTATTTTTAGTTTTTGTGGACTCTGATTTTGTCCTAATTTTCAAGGTATATTTAAAAATTTACATTTCCAAGGATTTTGCCCTGTTTTTAAGGTATATTTTAAGAACAAAATTATATGGCCGTGTTTAGAACACTTTGTTTTTTAAGAGTTTAAGTAACATTTTTAAATATATTAAAAAATTTAAAATTTATTTAGTTATTTCGGTAGTTCTGTATTTCCCTCTTTTGTATTAGAAAATATATCCAGAACACACAATTGATAAAGTGTCTCAGAAAGCACTAATGCTCTAGAGGGTACGCCAGGAGAAAAATTTCAAATAAGATAAGAAACCAAGAACGTGGAAAAAATGTTTAAAAAATTCTGTCTGTCAAAAATTTTTGACATTTATTTTTTGACATTTGAAATTTTTTTATGTCTATTTAATGATACAGATGATCTTGTATATGTTTTTTTTTTACAATCATTTAGTAAAGGTACAAAAATTTTGCCAATAAAAGCCACAAATAACTTCGAAATTCTTATAGGTAGAATTTAAAAAAATATATCTTGCATGTTGCTGGTATCTTACCTTACATGGCATTTTTCTTTAGGACACGAGTTCTGGCGCACCTTGTATAAACCTTTGTGTCAACATTTTATTACAAAAAAATAAAATCTTAAAATTTCTCCCATGTTTTTGGTATCTTAGCTTATATGGCATTTTTCACATTCCTTTTCGATTTAATTCATTATTATTAAGAAGATGAAATTAGAAGACAGTTAGTTAAGTATATGGTAAACTTTAATATAAACCATTTTTAATCTTCTTTAGCGAAAAATCTGCACGTGATAGTTTAAAAATAAATTAGAAATGTTAGAAAACATTCCAAAATTAAACTCGCAAGTTTGTGTGCTTAATTATAAAATTTTAAATTAACAAATTTTTAAACTCGAAGTTTAAAAAAATGAATAATAAGATTTATAATTACGAAAATGAAAAAAGCGATGTGTTTTTGCAATTAAGAATTTAGAATTTACTCTCATTGTTGGCAATTCAAAAACGCTTTAGTATTATTTATTCCAAATTTTAGCTTAAGTAATTGCTTGTCTCGTTTAGTACATTTCTCACCTGATACATCTAATCTTTGTAATTGTTGTTCTGTGCTAACCCTAATTATCTCTGTTGTTTAGTTGACGGAACCGTAATTACACCCAAATGAGTTACAATGATAGGTTGCTGCAGTAATTTGTTCAATTACATCAGTTTTGGCCATAAACAATAATCAAATAATTTTGAGTAGAATTTTTTATTTTGTGGAATTAAGGAAATTGAGTCCTGAAAAAGCATTGCAAAACTCTGCTTTTAGTCACCGTACTCTCCTTGTGTGTGCATATTGCCTATCAAAGCAGAATCCCGTTATTCGAGCCTCTTGTGGCATGCTGGTGCTCATCCCAAATTAATTATAATCCGGTAAATAAAATAACAAAGATAAACATCCTCATCCTCCCTATCCGTAACGATGTTAATGTAGATCCGAGCTCATGTTGATGTTGCTTCACTCTTATTTATCTTTGTCAATGGGTGAAAAGCGTCCAATTAGCGTGCATGAATTGTCAATAAACAAAAAATTGAGAAAACTCCCAACTCGAATTTTGAATCACGATTCGTAAAATATTAAGTAGCAGTGTAAAGTTTTACGACGCTTTCGGGGAGAATTTTGTTTTCTATTACACAACAACACTTGTTAGAAAGGGTCGTTATGTTTAAATATTGCGCTGTTTTATTAAAATTTACTTTTCCTCGGCTCATTTTAGACTGAATTTTTCCTTGCGTTATACGGTTTTTGCCCTAGGAGGGCTCTGTTTTTCTTTTTATGAAACCGAATTATTAGAGCCATTACGATGCGGATGATGGGGGAGAAAACGGGGCATGGAACGCTTATTATATCAAAAAATAACGCACTAATTCGATAGTAAATTCTACTGCTTACATTCCAAATCCGGGTTATTAAGTTGCAAGCTATAGGAAATTGTGCATCGAAGTCGTATATTAAAATGCAGAATGTTTCAGACAATTTCATAATACTACTCGTCAAATTGAGAGGATCAAAGAAATCGATAATGGACTTGGCCACTAAGCTCCAAAGGTAAAAGGATTGGCCTCTTTAAGGCACCTGAATTTAATTATGGAAATTAGGGAGAAGGAGGACTGCATAAACGTACACTCTCCCAACTTCTAGTGAAACAATTTTAACAAAATTTAACAATTTAGCTCGCTACAAGTCTAGTTTCACATTTTTTCAACTGCAACACCCTGTTAAAAATCGATTTTCAAAAAGTGTCGTTTTAAAGCACTTCTAAAGAAGTTCTTTCAAATTTTATGTTTCTATTTTCACCTAAAAGCTTATACTCTATTTCATCCTCTTTGAAATTGATTTTTGAAAAATCCTTTCTTATTGGACTTCAAATTTTATGCCTGTATTTTTGTTTAAACAAAGGGGTAAATTGAGGTGAAACGTTTAAACGTTTCACCTCAATTTACCCCTTTGGAGATTGATTTTCGAAAAATTCTTTGTTATCAGATCTTTACACCTTCTAAGGTACCTACACGTTTTTTAATTTTTTTTTAATATCTTTGTTTAAAAGTTCACACCTTATTTCAGTCTCTCAGAGATTGATTTTCGAAAAATCTTTTTTTAGTGGACTTCTACATCCTCAAACGAACATATTATACAAATTTTATGTTTCTATCTTCATTTCGATTTTAACATCCTATTTCATACCCTTATTGATTTTCAAAGAATTCTCTTTTAGCGGCCCTCTACACCCTCTAAGAAAAATTTCTTCTAAATTTTATGTTTATATTTTCGTTTAAGTGTTTACACTCCATATCAGCTCTTTAGAATTCCAAACAAATTTCCTTGAAGAAAGAATTTTTTTAAATACCTTGAAACACATATTTTTTTACAAATACTATTTTTTATGGAAATTATTTAACAATCACGAATTTTTATGCAAACTTTCATCCCTCGTTCAAACTCTTTGAAGGTTAAATTTCCAAAAATCGTGAAATAAGTGTTCCTTTTTTTTAACCGAAAACCTAAATACCAAATTTCATAGATATTCCTTCAAAAAATACAAATTTTAAAACCAATTTTCACCCTTATTTAACTAATGGTGGAATTTTTAAAAACACATGTTACTTTATTTTAACCGAAAGCCCAAATACCAATCTTTATAAAATAACTTCAAAATTGACAAATTTTTATACAATCTTGCATCTCTTGTTTGACCTCTTTGGGGGTGGAATTTTTAAAAATCTTGAAAAACTTTTTCTTTATTTTTAACCGAGAGCCTAAATCTCAATTTTCATAAATATAACTTCAAAAATGAGTATCTATACAAATTTTCATCCTCTGTTTGACTTTCTTAGGGGTAGAATTTCTAAAAATTCTGACACATGTGTTATTTTATTTTTAAACGAAAGTCCAAAAACCAAATTTTATGGATTTTTAAACAAATTTTCACCTCTGTTTAATCTTCTTAGTGGTGGAATTTCAAAAAATTTTGAACGTATTTCTTCATTTTTAACCGAAAGCTTAAATACCAATTTTTATGGATATAACTTCAAACCTTCGAATTCAACACCCCATTTAACTCGTTTAGGGGTTGATTTTCTAAAAATCTTTCTTAGTGGATGCCTACGTTATAAAAGGTATCTATTGTAAAAATTTTGACATTTATTTTTGACATTTGACATTTTTTGAAGTCTTTTTAATGATACTGATGATTTTGTATTTGTTTTTTATAATTATTTAGTAAAGGTAGAAAAATTTTGCCAATACAAGCCACAAATAACATTAAACATGGTTAGAGTTTAGGCTACAGCTTTTTTATATCTTCTTCTAATAGCCTGTAGCAAAAATAATTGGAAAATTATAAAATAATTGGAAAATTATTTTTCCAACAGAAATAAATAGAGTCAAAGTGCAAAAGTTAAACTCTCATAACTTCGAAATTCTTATAGATAGAATTTTCTTTTAATTTTTTCCATGTTCTTTGTATCTTACCTTAAATGACACTTTATCTGGAGCGCGAGTTCTAACGCATTCTGTATATATAGATTTTAGATTTCTTGTTTTGTTGTTTCAAAAATGAGAAAAACTCAATAAAACAAAAAGTTAAATAAGCAACTTCATTATCTCTTTATACATTTTTTATAAAACAAAATTGTTTCTGCGTGGGTCTGGATCAAATTATTCTCAGAAGGAAATCCAACTGCTTTGAAAGTGTGTTACATTTTTGGCTAAAGCAAATTTCTCAACATTACTAAGTGAAATGTGAAAAAGTTATTATTTTAAGATTTGTCAGAATTTAGCGAGGGCATGTCTTTGTTTAGCTCCATTTGCACGTAAATGTGACTTTAACGACTGTGTTTAAAGTGCACTGCTGAGGAAATTACATGCCATCAAACCGTTTTGTTTGTTCCTGAAAAATGCGAACTTGTCTCGTTTGAAATTTGTTTGCAAAACGGTGAATTATTTTTTCCGCAAAAAATACAACAATGGATAAGGCGGTTCCAAAAAGCCAAATCCAGAGAACCTGTTCGCAGTCGTAAAAGCCCACGCTTTTAAAAGTCGCTGAGTGAGAAAAACATTTGGGTTTTATCAGAATTCTCTGATTCGTTCGTCGCTGCAATCCATATTCATCCACTTTTAATATCCTGAAAGCAAAACTGTATCTGGGTAAAAACTGAAACACGACTCGTACACGACTTTAAATAGATCTTTGTAGGGAGACAGTTTTGGTACGGCTATGTAACCTAGATTCTCCTAGAAAAAAAAAAAAAATAAAACGATTTTTGATTCGTTGAAACAAACCTCGATATATCCCGGCAATTCCTGTAATCCACAAATTTCGTAATTTGTAAAATAGTGCAAAATGTAGTCATAGGCCGATTGTAGGGACACATGGAAGGCAAAATTCCCTTGATGGACTTTTTTCATACCGACTTCTAGCGGAAAATACTGGTTAGGATAGATTTTATTCAAGTATAGCTGCCTTAGAGGGCCTTTTTTTACCCCCTGCAAYGTGATAWGTAATGTCACAACATTTGTAATGAAGACAGAACCTCGAAATAATTTTTCATGTAATGAATCTGACAGCCACCCGCTTCTATTCGACTSTCTAACAGTTCTTGTATGTCATTAATTTTTGTCGTGGACTGTAATAAAACCACAATATTTGCACTGTAGGACACATAAATAAACATGAAAGCTCCRAAMAGGATCAAGCTAAGGATCCTGCCGGCCAAACTTTGGGGCTCGGTTGTAGTTCCTGAAAAAAACTTTTTCTATTTTGCGTCTGAAAGAAAGCTTATTCCGATGCTTTAATGGGCCATTTCAACACCAATTCGGGTGCGGAAACAGACTAGTACAATTCACTTTCTAGAGGTTGGTAATGGTGATTTTCAGCGGCGTTTTGAGCGATATTTCTTATTTCAGGTGGTGTACATATTTGCAGTATTCAACAAAATTTTGAAAAATATTCGAGATTTGACTCTTCGAAAATCGAAATTTTCAAACTTTGTGACATTTATTAATTATTACCAAGCACAACTTTATTAGAGCAAAAGTTTCTAAATTTTGAAAAATTGACTTTTATGTTAAAAAAGTAAAAACTTGTTTTATAAGTCTTTTTTTTTATAAAACTCGCCCTTCGTTCCTCGTTTCATAAACCTGAACTCGTTTTACAAAACTTGTCTTGTGGAACGGGTTCTTAATATACTACACTACTCCAAAAAAAACAACAAAAATTTTTCCAAAATTTTTTGGTGATTTTTTAAGGACTGTCTAAAAATTGTCGTATCTAGATTTAAAAAAACCATTTGAAAGCTTTAAGTTTCTAGTTTTGAAATCTTTTGACAAATTTTTTTTGTGCTACGCTTACCACGCAATCCTAAGTAATTTCATGAGAAAAAAATTCTAATTTTTTTTGTTTTTAAATTAATGTTAAATTAATACATGGGCCGGACAGCTTGCTTAACTTCAATCCGATTATTTATGTTTGTCGCTAAGTTATCTGATTTTAAATAAAAAAGGATCTTTTTGTCTTTGATCATCGATATTTCAGCAACCAATGAATAGTGTTAAAAACTGGGATAAATGACTTACAAGATCTGTTTATAATTTTTTGAAAAATATTTTTCTTTCAAACTCAACATTGATTTAAAGTAAGAGAAAAAACTAACTTTTTGCGTATTTACTAATATTGATGGGGGGGCTAATGTTTTTAGGTATTTTTACAGCTCAATGTATCCCCCATAGCCCTGTTAATTTTGGAATCGATGCATTGAACCGTTTTCTTGGAACGATTAATCAAAGTTTTGCACAAGAATTAAAGGAACAATTGCACATATTGTTTCTAAATATTATCTAATCTTTATTAAAATGAACAAAACATTTTTTTTTGACTTCTTTTTCAATTTTGCATTAGTTATTTTCTAATATTAAAAAAATATTTTTGTTTATTTTTTTTTGAAAATTTGTAAAAACATTCAAGAAACAATACTGCT